TAGATAAATAGATTTTAAATATTTCTTTACAGCTGATCAGAACCTATGTACTTTGGAAAACTAATAATGTGTTTATAAAAAGTCACATCTCCAGACCTTGCTCTCAAAAACCGAGTGGCTTAATGGGCAGTTACTGCGAAATAAGCAGGTGGAAACAGAACATAATATTAATCCGACGAAAAAACATGAGTGTTTAACACAAGTGTGAAATCTAATAAGTATTACTGCAGCAAAAGAAATCCGATTTGGAGATCCCTGTCTACCCTTTACGCGAAATGCAAGTGTCCCATTACGCAGACGCACTCTGTAATGTTTTTGTTTTGAGAAAGAAACAATGTCAAAACATGTGAAATTTACAAGAGAATAGTGAATTTGATCGAACTTCTAGGCGTTAAGGCTTGATGAAGAGAGCAACAGGATGACAATTTCAGGTATGTTACCAAGTTTGGGCTGTTTAAATTCAAAATTGAAGAAATGTTGAGGAATTTTAGAGTCAGAGTATCTCTTGGAACAGACAGTTGATTCAGTATCCTTCCTGATGAACAGCTCAACAATGCCGTCAAATGTTTTTAAAAAGTTTACAATTCACCTATGACTGTAGAAATAATCCCACAAAGCTTAGACGTGAAAAACCAATTTGGATAGGATTCCTCTGCATAATTTTTTGAAGAATCCCGACTGCAAACATCTTGCAAGGTCTATTCACTGGTAATGATCACAAGTAGTACATGGCAATAGACACAATTCTACATAGCAAACCAAATTATGCATAAAAGTTCCAAAGCTACTGCTCATTGCTTTTAATAACCATACAAGTACTTCAGCCATTACAAGACACTGTTTGAAATAATGTAACCTTGATCCCTATAAAACGGTTGTAAATTCCGAAGTAGGGTTCTGTTCAAAGGTAACTGCTAAATTTAAAAGCTGTAGCAAGTACTTGGCATAACCTAATTATATAATCTTGCTATAAGCCATAATAGTTAGGTACATGTACCCATTTTCCACTTGGTGATTGGATGCTCTTATCTGGAAACGAACACCTTTACCAAGTGAGTCAAAAGAAATTCCTCCTGATCAACAGGCATAATAATTAAGGCTTCCCCAATCTGACATTTCTATTCCCAGGCTTTATTTCTCGCCATCCTTTAACCTAGGTTCCATCTAGCAGCTTCAAAATTTGTAGATTCATAATTTGAAGATGTTAAAAAATTCATAATTCAAAACTGGAAGTTAGATGGAAGAACGGATGGTCGTGTTTATAGATAACATGTTTATAGATAGGCTTTCATGCACATGAACGTAGATTGGAAGATTCCAGGGGGGGGGGGAATGGCCATATGGTTAGCACGTGCGCGCTACGCTGTATCATACGGTCTGTCATTGAGTCAACTGGCGGGGTTTCGATTCCCCGGTTGTACGTGACAAGGAGTAGGGTCGCCTGTCCAACCTCGTGGGCTTTCTCTGTGTCCTCCGGTTTCCTCCCACTGCTAAAGACCCCTATGCGCAAGTGAATTATTGAAATAAAATTGAACCATGTGTTAGTCCCGAAATGACCTAGTTTGTGTCGAGTGGACTTTAAATCCCATTTCTCTCTTTCTCTCTGGAAGATACCACTTTGATTTGCATTTGTTAAATTCAGAATTTCAACAGGGTTATTCTTTATGAACAATGAACAAAACAAGCAAATTTGAAAACTCTATCAAGAAATCTGACCTGTGGAGTGTTCACTAGAAATTATGGACAGACAACAAACACCCAACCAACAGAAGCCTATGACTGCAATATCACCAACAATCACCAGAGCTGAAATACTCGCTGTGTTATTTATGCCAATGTTTTGGACATTCGACCAACCTTTTTGATGCTTTACATAGCCAACCTGAGAGTTGTGCACCCCTTTTCCTTTTGATTCTTATAGCCAACTTTTGAACTTTTGATTCCTACATAGTCACCTCAGAGTCATGAATATTTCTAACTCATCAAGCAAGCCATTCATTGCTTTCAAACCTAATTCATAGTTATGAATATTTTGATTCTTATAGCCAACTTTTGAACTTTTGATTCCTACATAGTCACCTCAGAGTCATGAATATTTCTAACTCATCAAGCAAGCCATTCATTGCTTTCAAACCTAACTCATAGTTATGAATATTTTGGGACTCACAATCGGAAAACCCTTTTGATGATTACATCAGTAACTTAGAAATCGTTCTTTAGTATAACATGCTTTATAAATGAAGATATTATTATTACTTAGAGTTATGTATGTGTTAGATTCACAATAAGGAACATGTAACTCAATATCAGCATGAACTGTGTAATCCTACCAAAATTCAACCTTGTAATTTCAAGATTCAGGATGTTACAGACAACATAACAAATTCAAATTTATCCATAAAAAGTGATCACAATCCATCTAGATACTAAACTAATAAAGGATAAGATAAACTTTGATAATAGTTGTTATGAGGTACTATAGAAACTTGTCACAATTTTCAAAAATAGGAAATTCCCATTGATATTGACAACAATTAGGTTTAGAAACAAAAATTTTCACATTGGTATTTAACACAAGTATGATAACACTACTTTTGATCTGGTAAATCTTTTCGTCTATCAATAGGATATACAAAATATAGTTAGATTTCTGAGGGCTTGTGAGTGGAGATGATGTGAGGACTTAGGAGACCATCTCTTCACAATAAGTGTTGAGGCATATCCATATCTGCCTTTTTATCTTATGCAAGAATCACTATAAATCCACCAGGACAGTATTTTGAAGAGTCGCTTTTAAGTTTTTTCGGACAGAGGCAAAAACTACAAATAATGTCAATGAGCAATTCTGAATTTCCATAGGGTTCCTCCATAGGATTAGCCGAACAACCCCAGTATATTTGATGAAATAAAAATAATAAAAAAAAAACCTTTGCCATATTTGGCTTTTACAAGGTTTTGGTGACAGGGGTAGTAACTGATGCATGACTCCGAATCTCAATTGAGTCAAACAATATCAGCAAGTTTGTAAAAAAGAAAAAAGACAATTATTAAAATGCTGTAGAGAAGTTACAATGATGTGGACAGAAAGAGGGACAAGATCGACAGATGTGGTGGAACAACAACATACCAGTACCCACCTCCCCACATTAAATGTCATGCATTCAATCTTTATTCTTAGTCATATGTACATCTGGTCCTACAAAGTGAATTTACCAGAAATATATAGAATATATTTCACACATTTCTACAATCAGCTACTGTTGTAACCAACAGACTGTTTTATTTGTAGGGTAGGTCAATTCGACTAAATCTATATCTAGATGCATTTAAAAAAATCGGCAAAATATTTCATGAGGGTGTAACAGTGATATATTCAAACGTTTTTTTAAATTGGATAAAAATTATGACCACTTTAGGGTCCACAAGCTAAAATGCGATTGTTCGTACAATCAGGGGCCATAATTCAGGAAGTTACTATCCGATATGCGCGAATATCGAAAGGAACCGAGATCTTTGGATTATAAACTTAGATTTCAAGTTTCATAAAAATCTGATAAAATTGTGACCTACATAGGGTCCAAAACCTTGATATACCATATTTTTACGCTATTTGAGAACGAGGGGCGGACATTTTGTCTGTAAGTTTTGGGCTGATTTTCACGAAATTTGAACTCGGCCATCCTTAGGGTGTAACGGTGATATAATAAAATGTTTTTTTAAATCGGATAAAAATTATGACCTCTATAGGGTGCACAAGCTAAAAACCTGATTTTTCGTACAATCAGAGACCATAATTCAGGAAGTTACTATCTGATATGCGCGAATATCAACAGGAACCAAGATCTTTGGAATATAAACTTACATTTCAAGTTTCATCAAAATCGGATAAAAATTGTGACCTCCATAGGGCCCACAACCTTGATATACCATATTTTTACGCTATTTGAGTACAAGGGGCGGCCATTTTGTCTGTCAGTTTGGGTCCGATTTTTATGAAATTTGAACTCAACCATCCTTAGGGTGTAACAGTGATATATTCAAACGTTTTTTTAAATCGGATAAAAATTATGACCACTATAGGGTCCACAAGCTAAAAACACGATTTTTCGTACAATCAGAGACCATAATTCAGGAAGTTACTATCTGATATGCGCGAATATCAACAGGAACCAAGATCTTTGGAATATAAACTTACATTTCAAGTTTCATCAAAATCGGATAAAAATTGTGACCTCCATAGGGCCCACAACCTTGATATACCATATTTTTATGCTATTTGAGAACGAGGGGCGGCCATTTTGTCTGTTACTTTTGGGCCGATTTTCGAACTTGACCATCCATTGGGTGTAACGGTGACATACTAAAACGTTTTTTTAAATCGGATAAAAATTAGGGTGCACAAGCTAAAAACGCGATTTTTCGTACAATCAGGAAGTTACAGTCCGATATGCGCGATCTTTGGGTTATAAACTTACATTTCAGGTTTCATCATAATCGGATAAAAATTGTGACCTCTAGAGTGTCCACAAGCTAAAAACGTGATTTTTCGTACAATCAGGGGCCATAATCCAAGATGTTACGTTCCGATACATGCCAATATCGAAAGGAACCAAGATCTTAGGGAGATAAAGCTATATTTCAAGTTTCGTTGAAATAGGATAAAAATTGTGACCTGTAGAGTGTCCACAAACAAATTATGGACAGACGGACGGACGGACAAACAGGGGAGACGACAATATACGTCCACATGAAAATGTGGGCGTATAAAAATGTTATTTCTGTGGTCAGCAACTCTACATACCGGTACTCATATTAATATCATTTTAAGTAATAGATAAATAATTTAGAAAACCTGTAATCTGCAAACATGTGCCAGTGCTAATACAGTATAAGAAGGTAATAGATAGTAGTTTTAACTTTAAAAAGTCTCACACAAAATTAGTCACAGAACTTTTAAACAGATCATCACCGTAATAAAAAAAAAAACAACAGTGTTTTACCTTGCCGGACAAAAGTTTGATTAACATCTAAAAGGATATCACAACCCTCTACTATCATTCTTTCAATAGCTAAATTTTTACGTATATTTTCCGTCTCACTCACTTCATCATGCATCACCTGTTGGAAGACAAAAGATTTATTAGAAAATAAATATATTTATTAGAAAATAAATATATTTATTAGAAAATAAATATATTTATTAGAAAATATATTTATTAGAAAATAAATATATATATTATATATATAAATATAAATATATATATATATATATTTATTAGAAAATAAATATATTTATTAGAAAATAAATATATTTATTAGAAAATAAATATATTTATTGGAAAATAAATAGATTTATTAGAAAATAAATAGATTTATTAGAAAATAAATAGATTTATTAAAAAATAAATAGATTTATTACAAAATAAATAGATTTATTACAAAATAAATAGATTTATTACAAAATAAATAGATTTATTACAAAATAGATTTATTACAAAAAAAATATTTATTACAATAAAAATATTTATTATTTAGTACAATAAAATTACAATAAAAATATTTATTACAATAAAAATATTTATTACAATAAAAATATTTATTACAATAAAAATATTTATTACAATAAAAATATTTATTACAATAAAAATATTTATTACAATAAAAATATTTATATATATAGACCACATCTCCAACTTTACCTGAGCAATAAGGCTCCTTCCCAAACACAGAATTGAACCCAGGAAATGTTCTCAAAAACGCAACCTGACTTCTGAGATGGTAATGTGTTCTCCTTGATTTTCATGTAACTCATGCTGCACGTGCTGTTCAACGGGACCAGCCCTATAAAATGTACCTCCATACTTGGTTGAATCATTCACACTACAACGTCTACAGTTTGCCCAACAACACCAGAACTGGCGACACAGGCAATGGAGAACTGTTCTGTTCACAGATGAGAGTTGGTATTGCGTATCAACTGCAGATGGCAGGACCAGAATATGGCGTCAACGTGGCCAGCGTTATTCTGACCAATGTGTCATGGAACAAGACTCATGGGGGGGGTCCAAGCATAATGGTTTGGTGTGGAATCGGCCTGAACCAGAGAGTGGGTCCTGTGGTGTTCCAAAATCTTGGTCCAGGGAGAGGAGATGGCATCACAGCAGTGCGCTACATCGATCAAGCTCGCAGACCAACGTTTTCCAGCATGACAACGCCTGTGCCCAGACTGCCAGATTTACTCGGGACTTTCTACAGCAGAACGGTGTCAACATTATGCACTGGCCAGCCCTTAGTCCGGACTTAAACCAATGGATCATCTTTGGGATCAAATTCAGAGGAGACTTAATAACGTCATACCGAGACCAAAAACAGCTGATGGTTTGCGCCAGGCTTTTCTGAGAGTGTGGTTCCAGGTGCCAATAGCATTCATCAATCATCTGGTCCACTCCATGTACAGACGCTGCACTGCTGTTATTGACACTCGCGGTGGACACACCAGATACTGATGTATAGACTGTGTACAGACTCTAAACCTTCTCGTAATGTCTTGGAATTGTGATGAATTAATCACTAATGTGTCAACATACTGTTCACAAAAAATTACTTTGATCTATTTGAAAGTCATTTTCTAGAATGATTTGATTAAAGTTCCTCTCTGATTTTGAAATAGTACCAACATTTTTTTTTTTTGCTGTTTAGTATATATTTATTGAAAAAAATTATATTTATTGAAAAAAATTATATCTATTAAAACCAAATTATATTTATTAAAAACCAAATTATATCTATTTTTCATTTTTAATCATTATACAATTAGTTATGTATAAAACAGTAAACAGCCTTAATACATAATTAGATATATGTATTTATTGGTACATCATCATGGCCTAGGAATAAATTTGGGCAGGATATATATATTTTACAAATTCCAGTTTTTCATGAATAGGTCAAATTTATCATTTTCTAAAGCAGGCCTGTCGGAAAGAAATTCATACTGGGGGACTGTCAGAGTACTTAGGTAAAATGGGCAATGGGGTTTCAATAAAATTTAAACTAAAGAACAAATATTTGGTAGGTGAAGAAATATGTTTTTCCACCTGGCATTGAAAGGCAATAATGCTGAGTAAACCCCAATCTGATTAAAATACAGATCTATATTTTGTTTCATTTTTTGATACTTTCCACAACCTACACAACATGAAGATCTGACCGGTTGTACTGGAAGGTGGCATCAGGGGTCATACAAGTGGCTTTTGATCCTATGACGTCAGGCATTGATTAATCAATCAACGTTGAGGTTTCTAGTGGTTTACGTGCATCACACGCCAAGAACTCGGCGAAACAGACTGTTTCATTGGCTAATCCCTCACTTTAACCAGAAAGCCGGTAATATAAACTCTTCTAGATCCTAGTGTAGTAAAGACAAGTAAAACGAAATTTTGAACTATAAAAAACGAAACAAAATAGGATCTGTGTTATAATCAGATTGAGTAAACCAGGAGGCTATGAATGGTGTTTAAAACTACTTCTAAATATTTAGTATTTATAGCACATAATAATATAATTTATTAGTAGTCTCTTCCATTGTTAAATCTGCATATTCATATTCAATATTAATCAAATAGTTTGATGACATTACATTGATAATAGAGATTTTCTACTCTTTTGAGTTCACTTGTGCAAAATGAGCATCTATTATATAATATCTACTGTTTTTATTTTATGTAGAAACTTTTCTGTGGGAAAAATTCTATGGAGGAATTTAAATTATATCCAATATACATAGTGAGTAACAAGCTGGCTCACTCGCCAGAAGGTCTCGGGTTCGCTCCCATAGTGGGCAGAGAAAGTTCCTCAGGATTTTCAAGTGTGGTTTCCCTATGTCAGTGTTGAAGCATGGAAGGCCTGACAAGGACATTGTCTAGTCGTTCAGAAAGTATAAAAAACCAAGGCCCTGTGTACACATTGGTGTACATACAAAAGAACCCTTGACAGTTGTAATTTGAAATAAGGGCTGGCCGTAGTGCCACTGTTCCGGCAAATTTTTCCTCATAGCACACTGTATGGCATATGTCCGTCTTCATTTGCTTAGTGACCAATCGGAGCAAAAAAGGAGGACGATAAACCTCATTGCATATCGTATCATAACTTAGGGATAGTATAATATTTACTCCTAACCCCTTTAACTGCTTCCCACCAGTTTTTGTTCTTGTCTAATTTTCTACTGTCATTCTCTGTTAATAGAGTGTTTATGTGTTTAGAATTATTTTATTTACTCAAGAGAGATTCCAATGGTTTTGGTCTGATTGGTTGAGATGGAAGGAGAGTAGATTTGGGATTATTGGTTTAATTTCCAATCTTTTGGAAATGATTATTTGAGTGCTTCATATCAGAAGGATATGTGCCTTTCAGATTATGTATCAATTTGAGTTTTGCAAATGTTTTAAGCTTCTTCGAAAATATCAATTGGCGTTAATTTTGAGCATTCCATATTCGACAGATATATAATTTCTTGTAATTTTCGGGCTAAAATTAATTTGAATGGATTCTACTAGTTCCATAAAATTAATTCTCAAGGATGGAAATTGATTGCTACTCCACACAAATTCTTAGAAAATATATGGGAATTGGTGACTGCCTTGACGGCATACTCTGCCTGTTTTAAAATTTGTGATATAAAACCATTGTCAGAGGTTTTATAAACATTGTAAAATAAAAATTGTATTTCTTGCTGATAATAGAAGGGAAGCAACTCAAACATTTTGACATTTTAAGCTGGGCAAATGAAGACGGACATATGTCATACAGTGTGCTATGAGGAAAAATTTTGCTTCTTAAAATTACTTCTTCACAATAGAAGCTGATTGTTTCTTGGTGTAGAAAAAAAACACACACATAAAACAGAAACCCACTTGACCCACTTGACAAACCCATGGACAAGAAATATTTATAGCACACATAGACATTACAAGTAATAAATCAAATGAAATGAAATGGGGTTTAACCTCCTACTCTTCCGCTACAACTGGACTAATGAAGACATGCATACACCATACAGTGTACTATGAGGGAAATTTTGCTTGACAGCAGCGCTATAGCCTACTTGCCTACTCGTATATCGAATTCCAACACCCAAGGGTTCTTTTATGCGCTTGCCAATGTGTACAAGGCAGTGATGAGATTTCGCCGGTATATTCCTGACATGTCCGACACTATTTTCTAAACATGCTAAATTGTCCAACCAGGAATATGCTCAATCGGACATCAAGACATGGTGAATAATATTCAGAATTCCAAAAGCCATATAGTGTACTGAGTGTATAATTGATTAGGTAATAAGTGATCAATGTATTTATCGTGTTCTACCGCCTATACACCTACCTTGATTAACTACTTAATCTGCCTTAATTGACTGACTTAATCCTTTGTCGGACAATTCATCCATCTAATCTTAAACAGACGCCATTGCTTCCCCTTTGTTGGACTGTTCATCAATCAAATAAGAGTGATTATAATTTTAATCTACTGTTTACCTCATGGGTTTTCCATCGTCGGACATTTTAAGTATATTGATATGAGCCGACAATATGTATAAACTAATCATAGATGTCACATATTGTAAGAGTATATTACACCCCAAATCAATATATCCTTTAACTTGTAAATCAAAATATATATATTCGTTAACTTGTAAATCAATATATCCGTTAATTTTTCTGCGATATAACTTTGGCGGAAGCGGACATTAAATAAAGCTATTTCACACACACACACGGTTATAATACAATAATCGAAAACTAAAGTGGAAATCTCGAAAGACGCGTGAAATTATGACATGTAAACGTGACAATTATCACATGAGTAATGTCGGAGAAAAGATTCTTTTTTGATGGCATATTCTCAGGTTTATGATAATATTTTGAATGGGGTTTATGTTTTTGAAACAAGCGGTTGCCATGCAAGATACACCCACATTTTGCAAGAGATGCACAGAGAACAAGCTCACAAAAGAAGCGATTTTTCGTACAATCAAGGGCCATAATTCAGGAAGTTACGATCCGATATGCGCCAATATTGACAGGAACCAAGATCTTTGGGTTATAAACATGTATTTCAAGTTTCATCAAAATCAGATCAAAATTGTGTCCCCTAGAGGGTCCACAACCTAAAAATGTGACTTTTCGTACAATTAAGGGCCATAATTCAGGAAGTTATGATCCAATATGTGCAAATATCAAAAGGAACCAAGATCTTTGGGTTATAAATACGTATTTCAAGTTTCATAAAAATCGGATCAAAATTGTGGCCTCTAGAGGGTTCACAACCTTGATATACCATATATTTACATTATTTGTGTATGAGAGGCGGCCATTTTGTCTGGCAGTTTTGGTCAGATTTGCATGAAATTTGAACGCAACCATCATTAGGGTGTAACAGTGATATATTCAAAAGTTTTTTTTTAAATCGATTAAAAACTGTGACCTCTAAAAGCGCGACTTTTCGTACAATAAAGGGCCAAAATTCAGGAAGTTATGATCCGATATGCGCGAATATCGAAAGGATCCAAGATCTTAGGGCTATAAACAGGTATTTCAAGTTTCATCAAACTCGGATCAAAATTGTGGAGAGGGTCCAGAACCTTGATATACCATATATTTACAATATTTGCGTACAAGGGGCAGTCATTTTGTCCGGCAGTTTTGGTCTGATTTGTACGAAATTCTGACTTAACCATCATAAGGGTGTAACGGTGATATATTCAAAGTTTTTTTTGAATCGGATAAAAATTGTTACATCTAGAGGGACCACAAGCTAAAAACGTGAAGTTTCGATCCGAAATGCGCGGATATATCGAAAGGATCCAAGAACTTTGGGTTATAAACATGCATTTCAAGTTTCATCAAAATCAGATGAAAATTATGACCTCTAGAGTGTCCACAAGCTAAAAACGTGATTTTTCGTACAATCAGGGGTCATAATCCATGAAGTTTCGATCCGATACATGCCACTATCGAAAGGAACTAAGATCTTTTGGAGATAAACCTATATTTCAAGTTTCATCAAAATCGGATAAGAATTGTGACCTGTAGAGTGTCCACAAACAAATTGTTGATGGACAGACAGACAGACGGACGGACGACAATATACGTGAACATGAAAATGTGGGCCTCTAAAAAGAAATAAACTAGCTGATTATAGCCTACACCAAGTTTGAAAATTCTAGCTCAATTACATGTAGAAGGAGAGTTATTGTGTTTCAAAGTCTCGACCAATCAAATGGCTGATCGCTCTGCTTACCCTCAGCAGAAAATGTTCATTACCGAACCTAGTCAAGTTATTGACCAAGTTTCATCACTATCACTTAATCAGAACTGAAGTTATTGTGTCCCAAAACATCAATCAATCAAATTACTTATCTCTGCTTACCCTAAGCAGAAAATGCTCATCTTCGAACTCCATCAAGACATTGACCTAATAAACACCTACACCATGCTGGAATATCCAGATGAAAACTTACCCTAGATAATTCTTCTAATTTACTTTTAGCATATTCAAGACTCTTTCTTTCAACATGATCATGAGGTGTGTGTGCCAATAATTCATGCAATGTTATTATATAACGAGGTATCTGAAATAAGAGAAATATAAAATTGTCATCATATATTGAAACATTCAATTACACTTTAAATTCTTAAGATGCCTAGACCTCTTTGATTTTGGTAAAAATTAAAATTGACAATTCGATTAAATTTGATGTGTTGATTTATTTTTTGAAGTGGCTATCTGTCTATATTTAAAGCTTTTGGTCTGGAGATAAAGCTAATGTTCAGATATATTTGTTTTTTCTGTTTAAACCAAAAACAAACTAAATATTAGCAAACAAATTGACTTGATGTCTTGAAAAGGATATTTAATTGTATACATGTTGTCCCACCCATCACTAATTGAAACAAGCCAACAGTGAGGCTGATGTCCCCGCCAAATTGAAAAAGAAATTAGATGACACATTTTTTAATTGCATATTTATCTTTTGTGAACTTAGTCAAAGTACTGATGTACAGAAACTATACTTCGATTTTGGTGTACTTAAACTATACTCCAAGTTTCACCACTCTCAATCTATTAGAATCAAGGTTATCATGTTCCAAAACATTGACACATAAAATGTTCATTATCGAACTTAGTCATGGTATTGATGTAATGAAATATGCCAAGTTTCCCCATTCTCACTCAATTAGAATCAAAGTTGCCGAGCTCCAAAGTCTTAACCAATTAACTTGCTCATCATCAACTTAGCCAACTCAGTCAAGGTATTGATGTAATGATATACACTAAGTTTAACCATTCTCACTCAATTAGAATCAAAGTTGTCAAGCTCCAAAATCTTGAGTAATTTGCTCATCGTCAAGCTTAGTCAAGGAGTTTGATGTAATGAAACTATACGCCAAGTTTCACCACTCAGTTGGAATCAAAGTTATCATGTCCCAAAACATCGACACAGAAAATGTTCATTATTGAACATAGTCAAGGTACTGATGTAATGAAACTATATGAAATGCGCATTATCAAACTTAGTCAAGGTATTGATGTAATGATATATGCCAAGTTTCACCATTCTCACTCAATCAGAATCAAAGTTGTCGAGGTCTGAAGTCTCGACCAAACAAATTGCTTATCACACTGCTCATGATTGAACTTAGTCAAAGTATATACCAAGTTTCATCACTCTGACTTAATTAGAAGCAAAGTTATCGTGTTCTAAAGCATTGACCAATCAAATTGCGTATCTCTGCTCAGCCTATGCAAAACATGCTCATCATTGAACTCAATCCATGTATTCACCTAATAAACACCTACACGAAGTTTGAAAATTCTAGCTCAATTAGAAGCAGAGTTATTGCATCCCAAAAAGTGTGATGAACAGACAGACAGACGGACTGAAAGATGGACGAACCAATTTCAATATCCCCTGGGGGGGAAGGAGGGGCGCTGCTTGTCCTTTCAGTTAATTTGGACATTTTGGCTTTATCTGGAAAATTTGTTAAGAGTGTGTTGGTAAGGAGGGAGGAATCGCCAACACTAGTTTTTTTTGGTTTTAGAGAGGGATGGGGGGCTTGAGCCCCTTACTCCCCTTCCTATGGCTCAGTCAATGCCAAATTCAGTGTTACAGTGTATCTCCATTCTATACTCTAAAAATAAAGAATATCACTATTCTTAATACGTACTTGATGCATAGGATATGTGAGAAATAATTCTAGAGATCTGCCTTCACACGCTGGCTTCTCTTCATATCGTTTGAGCAAATTATTAAATTCTGGTTTTTGTTTGTATTCAGCTAAAACTTGTAAACTATAATGATGATTTCGTACATATTCCTGATAAATACTCAACATAGGTAGTAACATGTCAAATAAATCCCCTGAAAAAACAAAATATTAAAAAAAATATTACCTGCACGTAAAATGTCTGAAGTGTCCAATACAATGTTAATATATATTTTTACAAATTTTACCTAATTTCTATATTGTTGTAACATGAGCTGGTATTCTTTTTGTGAAATTTCATATTACATTTTACTAAAAAAAGTGCACCAGATCACAAAGTTTAAAATGTACACCACGTGGCATCTTCAAGAATATTACTTAGAAATGAAATGAAATGGGTTTAACTTCCGACTTTTCTGCACCAACTGGGGTTATGAAAACAGGCCTACACCATGCAGTGTGTTATGAGTGAAATTTTGCCCAGCTTACTGTTATATCAAATTTCAGCTGTCAAGGGGTCCTTATGCTCACGCCAATGTGTGCACAGGACCTCGGTTTTTCACCGTTTTTTCAGTTTCTTGACACTGCGAAGGTGAACCCACATAGATAATCAAGTGGAGCTTTATATTGACCCAAACTAGGTCCTTTCTGGACCCTTGTCACGTGCAAGCTTGGGATCGAAACCATGCCACTTGACTCAATGACAGACCAGAGCTGTCATTAATAGAATACCTCTACAGTTATAGTTATAAAACTCAAATATAAAAACTTATTTTAACAGAAAAGATTGTAATCAGTGGCTTAAATAAGTACAATGAAAAATACTAAATATTAAAACTTACCTAATACTAAAGTAGGCCAATTTTCTAACCTGGCTGTTAATCCTTTTAGAAATATCTGATGTAAAAACAATAGCGTTTCACTGAAAAAACATAAAATACAAATAAATAAAACTAGTTACATTCCCAAAGTGAAAATATTTAGAAATAAGACAGCAAACAATAATATAAACACTTGCACATTTTCCCAAAATCAATCTACTCTAACTCAATAGAAATCATACGGTATAACCAAATTCTACATGATGTAATTTACAAAGGCAAAACCAAACAAAATGAATTTTTGATTCCATCCTCTACAGAACAATACTTGTTGATACATTGTGTTTAATAATATGTTGTACTGCACTGTTGAGAGGTGTGCAAACAGTACCATTAATTTAAGTTGGATTAAGACTAATAATTGCTCCCCCTGATTTCATGATACATGAATGTAGTGTGTTTATTTATAGCATCTTTCTGTGTATGAAATAGCTTTATTTTACGTCCGCTTCCATCAAAGTAATATCGCTTTCTCCCTTATTGTCCCATTTGAGTGGCATTTCTTGTTGAATTTTTCGTCTAAAATTGAAGAAGAGTGTTTTGGTGAATAATCATGATTTTGAAGCAGAAAGATCAGCAAGTAAACAGACATGAAATAGAGAAATCATGTATAGAAATGATGTCAGACTGTGGCAGTCAAAGCCTCTAGATTCATTTGGTCAACCCCCTTCAATATTTATAACAGATCATTGTGATATGTTGCGCTCTCTGTAGATTTAGATCATCAGAATGTTCAAAAACATGTTACAGGCCAAGAAATGACATGAATTTAACACTTAAGTCAATTACTAGTCTGAGACCTGATGTATATACAGAGTTATCCCCCTTTAGTCACCAAGCTCTACTCCCCCCCCCCCCTCAACAAGAGCCAGTTCTATCGCATCAAACTACAAACATATAAAATGTATATGACACTTTTGCTACTAGGATAATCTGCCACTGAAGATTACTCATGGTTTAAATAAATATAATCACCTGTTTAAAAATATACTGTTTACATCTTCATGTGTGACTGGAGGTTTTTTAGAACTTGCCGCCATTCTTAATGGGCGTAAAAAACATGTAACTAAACATGAGAGCTGTCTATTATATTCTTCTTCACATTCAACCATACTGAACACAATACTGTTACGTTTGCGCATGCTTTCTGCATGTGGTGAGCGAATATACAGTTCCACGATTTGTTTCCATCGTCTGCGACACAGCCACCCTCGAAAAAAACTTTGAACCTATAAAAAAAATGTACAATAGCACATTATCATTACCAAAAAGAGCAAAGTTTGAATTATCTGATAAGATTCGAAAATAATTGTGTAATAGAACGTAATGAAAGATCAAATGAGTCTGATGCTGGGTACATTCATTTTGTTTCCTTTAATTTTTGACTGTTCAATCCACTAGGTCTAAAGACATTTCTTTACTGGACTTGTTCAATAATACACAGATTTGATTCGTCAAATACATTTCAACCTATCCATAAAAAGCTGTGATTTCATGAAATCTTCTGAAATGATTTGATTATCTAAATGTTTTCTTGCCTGTCTATCAAGACTGAAGGAATTATATCCGAGACACAATGAAATTGCACCACTTTTATAAATGGATGATTGTAAACCTTCTTTGAGAAATATGCTTAAATCTGGCAATTTTAAATGTAACAACATCAGATCATGACGATAACATGTGAGAATAATCCGGTAAATGCACAACACATCAATTCTTTCAAACATGATACAAAATTGATTTGAAAGAAAGGGATTGTTGAAAATTATGATTTCATGGTGAAGACATAGAGCAAAATATGTAGCTTTTAAAGTTGTATGATATAAGATCTAGATAGAGAGCTGGATGTTCTTGCTATAATAGCTCAAAAATAGATATTGAAAATGAATATATTGAAAATTTCATCAAAATTACTTTATTCTCAATTGACCATTTTATTACTAAATTTTTAAATCTTGCGGATGTTCAAATCCATTTATATCCCGGCCATCCAATGGTTTATTGAGTTGATTATTGGCTTGTCATGCTAATAAATGAATATATAATAATTCATATATAACATTTGAATTGAAGCCAAACAAAAAACCTGCAGATTTTAGCTCTTACTTAAAGCATCTTTAAAAAGTTAGAGTCAATACAACTCCAACAGTTCAGAGTTAGATGCAAAAATAATGCAAGATTGCCATCTGAACGTGCCGTTGCAATTATTCAAGATGGTATACAACTACCAGAGTCATCAACCAAAGACGACAATGGATAACAACGCCTTGACAAGACCCACGCATTAGTGTTCACATCGTTCTTCGTCGACTGCACTCTGATGGACTGTGTACCAGACATCTTTATGTTGGACCAACTCTGTTATGTTGGACCAACGACGCTACAGCCTTCCATCTTCATTAGCCCTGTCAGAGCAGAACAGTAGGACGTTAATACCCATTTCATTTCATTTCATTTTTACTCTGTGTGGCTACATTTCACTATCACTGCAAAGGTAAGTTACTATAGCCTCTGCGGGTTGTTGTGGATTTTCTTTGGTCGTTATATATCCAACATACAGTCTGGCCAAAAATCACATTTCAGCTGCATTATGTCTCGCTAACATTTCTCGCTGCCAACCAAGGACAAATGAACTTTCTTGTCTAATGGATTTGATCAACCAAATTAATGGAATGGAAATAATTTTAATCTAATTGTGCCATAGCATCATATATCATTTGCTTTCTTTAAATAAAAAACTTTTACAATAATATTTAAATAATTGTCAATTATCAGCAACTTTTGTATTAATGAATAATTCAGGAGTATCAGAGAATTAATTGTGAAGTATGAACAAGAAACAAGAAAGGATAAAATGTCCATTCAAACAAATGTGCAATATGATATTATGAATAAGTGAATTCTATGAGACAAGTATCAATATATGCACTAAAGTCACGTCTAACCAATGACTAGTTTACATTTTGAAGAAATTATAAATAATACTCCATTCTTGCTTCATTTGTGTTAATCTAATAAAAAAATAAATATCTAAAAGCAAAATTCCTAAATTCAAAATAAATGTTCTTCAAAATATTATTGTTATAAAGGAAACTATGAATAAAATGATAACAACAATCATGCTTTTAGTACAGCAGAATGGTTAATATTAACATTTTATATAAAGCTTTCATTTTTTAGAACTTTTATTTGAACTTAATAAAAAAAAAGTATTAAATTCTTTGATTATTCCAAATATTTGACATCAAAAGTAATGGTAAAATTACAAACTACAGATAAAAAACTTTTGCATTTCAAACCTTTAAGGTGGACTCTGAAAAGCTATGTTTTACAGAAATATAGCAGGACACAGTAGGAAAAATTTAGCAAGGGCAGTAAACTTGAGCACTAATATGCACTGAGCTCTTCATTTATTAAGTTTTTTAACAATTAGCTAATAGACCACCCACACTTTTCAATATTTAAGTAACTATTGACTTTTAAAGAGAAAAACACATTTATCAGAATTTCTGGTACATGTGGAATATCCAAATAGAATAACATGTTACAACATGTGTGTTATGTGTTAAGTGTTATACAATATATATTAATCTAATACTGGTGATTAAATACAATATCAACATGAACTGTGAATTAAAGATACATTTCCGCAAAGATGCTGATCCTAAATAAATAATTATTGATTGAAAAACATACCCAAATTACCAGGACAATATACTTATCATCTTTCCAGATATATCACAGAAAATTTTTTTTTTTACAATCTCTTATAATAAACTTGTTTAATTAATTACGGGGTTATTAAGCAATTCAAATCTATAGAATTAATTTTTCCTGGTGATGACAAATTTCAAACTTTCAAATAAAAACAAAAGTTTATTAAATATAGATTATCCGATATACTGAGGGAACATACCTTTAAGTGCAATATTTGTCCATCTTTAAGATATAATAATGCTACAAATTAAAAATATCTTCAAAAATTTTGCATGTCATAATAACTTTGGAATTTATTAAAGAATTCATTGATAATAGTACTTTACCAGGTGGACAGGATAACTACCATGCTGTGTTGATTTGGCAATATGATGAAGACAACAACACATTCCGTCTAATGAGGTCTACATGTATGTAAGAATTAATAGCAAGTTTTTGTTACCTTTTTTACCTTTTTTATTTTACGAATTTCATCAGTTTCTTCATCTACTTGATGATTAGAGAATATTTGGTTTTTAAATTTTTGAAGCTGAAAAATGAAAAAAAATAGACTCATGGTTCAAAATACAACTATCTTTATTTACATTCTGTATTCAAAGAGGTTTAACTCTTAAATGACCCAGAGATTTGACATCATAACGTCATAAAAACCCACGTCATAATGGTCAATAGTGTTAAAATATACATATGCATTTTAAAGTCATTTACAGAACACAGTTTTTATGGGAAACAATCACTAGTTTTATTCTAAAAGCATGATGTTTCGACAAGTATCCTCTTATTGTTATCGTTATCAAAATTCATGTATATAATGGTTATTTCTATTTTTTGTTTGGCTGTTGTGAACTAAAAATCATTCATCGTGACTGTCTTTTAATTTAAGCTTAAGTAATTAAAATTTGTTGATTATATCTACTTCTATCACGTTCTAATTCAAAACTATAAATATCTATGGGGGTCACGGTGGCTAAGTGGGTAAGACGCTGGCTTGCTAGCCTTGAGGTCGGGTGTTCGATCCCTGCATTGGTCATCCAGATTTTCTGGCGTGATTCCCTCATGTCAGTGATGCAGGACGGAGGGCCTGACAAGGACAGCTGTCTAGTTCATTCAGATGGGACAAAAAAACGAGGTCCTGTGTACACATTGGCATGCACGTAAAAGATCGATTGACAGTTGGAATTCAATATAAGAGTAGGCCGTGGTGCCACTGTCCAGGCAAAATTTCCCTCATAGCACCCTGTATGGGATATGTCCGTCTTCATTAGCCCAGTTCAGAGCAGAACAGTATAGGACGTTAAACCCCATTTCATTTCATTTCATATAAATATCTACACCACCAATAAAATCTGAATCACTGTCATTAAATAAGGATGGTAATGTTGTCGTATAGGCCTAGACATAACACCGTTTTATTATAATTTTTTAAGAAGAAACAGTAAGGTTTTTAACTGTCAAGATGTCAAACAGGAAGTAAACAAGTGAGAAAAAGCTGTCTGTTTATAAGGGAAGTAACTCACATTACGCTAGGAACATTGCAATCGACTAACTGGTTTTGTCGACAAAAGTCGCTGTGGGTATTAAACGCTAACGTTATAGGTGTCGACAAATGTTGCCGTGGGTCAATTAAGAGTTAAATTTGGATGGGACACAGGGGTCATTCCATGTCAAGTGGGTCAATTTTCAGAAATTTGGGAAATTGTCCCACTCGAAAAAATCTGGAAAAAATATGTCATTGTACATGTAAATACATTTGAGTTTCATGAGTTAACTGATAATTTTTCGAAACAAAATATCTATCAATAATTTACTCGAGTTTCAGATATCTTATTGTTACCTTGTTAGTGAAGATATACAGCTCAAAGCTGGTAGTCTTAAAGAACATTTTGTGTAGATTACAAATCTGCAATCAGATTAGAGGTGAGTGGTAGGGTTCGCATGCTACTTGGCCATAAAAAACGAAAACAATTTGGTTTAATTGTATATTTACTGGATTTTGTAGTGCTCCAGAAGCTACAAAGTAATAGATATAGACCCAAATTTTGGCTTATCCAGAGATTGTCGGTGGTACTACATAAGAACACACATCAGTCTTCACTAGATTCCCCAAAAATTGGATTTGAATATGGTTTCAGACACAAATTTTCGAAAATTGCCTCATATTTTTGAGCCAAAAGAACCCGGTAGATGAGCATCTAAAAATCTGAAACTTGGTGTAATTATAATTTGTACTAATATCTCCAACATATGTTAAAGTCATTCTTGTCCCATGGCTGCCATTATTCAAATGACCATAACCGGCCAGTAACCAAAAGATCAAAATTGATGGGAAAAGTATTTCTTGAATAAAGAAGATGACTTGTTGTTTGAATCATAGTTATCTAACTTTAGGAAAGTCTGTGGCAGGTTACTATGTATCATCAGAGCTTATCTGCTTAAAGTGCAAAGACACTGATTTCCAGCCCCAAGTGTGAATATTTAACTTGATTTTATATTCTTATAAAAGATATTATACCTCCAATTGTTTGACATTGTGTAGAAAACATGTTGAGCTAAATCTTTTATGAAAGTTCATCTCAAGGTCACAAAAAGTCTTCACTCTTTAAAACGCACCTGGATGTCAAAAATAAGTGTAGATTTAGAATCCTTGTGGAATTTCCATTCCAGAAATACTTATTCCAGAAATTTTGACCTATCGGTTACTGGGTTATGGTCAATTTGAATAATGGGCGCCACGCCTATTTTGGCCGAAATCCGAAAATTGGGATATGCTGGAAAACACTGTTTCAATGACGTGCGAAATGTGGTATGACGTGGGGTCTGAGAGCTTGATCGATGTAGCGCATTGCTGTGATGCGGCCCCCTATCCCTGGACCAAACCATCATGCCAGGACCTCCCTGTGAGTCTCGTTCCATGACACATTGGTCAGAATAACGCTGGCCAAGTCAACGTCACATTCTAGTCCTGCCATCTGCAGTTGATATGCAATATCGACTCTCATCTGTGAACAGAAAAGTTCTCCATTGCCTGTGTCGCCAGTTCTGGTGTTGTTGGGCAAACTGTAGACGTTCACATCGATCGCGATGGGTAAGGATCGGTCCACGGTAAGGTCTAAGGCAAAGGATGTTCTCTCTGGTGAGACGTCGGCACACTGTATCGGTACTGATGGGTCTTCCGTGTGTTCCCACTGTCTGACGTGCTGTCTCAGATGCCTGTGTGAAGGGATTCTGCCATGTTCTCGCACAACATGGCGGTCTTGTCGCTTCGTGGTAACCCTTGGTCTATCAGTTCAGGGGCGATCATCCGTGGTGTTGGTGGCCCGAAAGCATTGCTGAAGCCTGTAGATGGTCCGATCATTGACCTTGAAGTGATTGGCAACGGCTTGGGCAGTGTGGCCAGTATCGAGTCTTCCAAGCGCCTGGTTCCTCTGAGCTGTCATGAGTCATGGCATACCATCTCAGAAGTCAGGTTGCGTTTTTGAGAACAATTCCTGGGTTCAATTCTGTGTTTGTGAAGGAGCCTGATTGCTCAGGTAAAGTTGTAGATGTCGTCACAAATATTCAATAAAAACATTTGACAAGATTTATGCAATACGTCTATTCAGAGTAACATACCAACCTGACGTTTCTTTTGATGCTTAGTATATGTTACATTTATCCAATTTTTCTAATCATGTTTCAAAGATTCATTTTACTACAAATTACAAAACCCTTCCTATAGTCTTAATGAAATGTCTTTGTAGTGTGCTAGTGATTTTCTTGTATTTTTTTTATTCTATGGAAGACAAAACTATTTTCAGGTCCTCAAATAAAGATACCATGACAAAGTAAGGAATATTTAACGTACCTCAGCTTTTAATTTTTTAACTTCTATTGTAAATTCATCTGTTTGTTGTACATACTGCCATTTTGCCTGACGTTCACTGTCTAGTATCTGTAGTAAATGTAGATGTTTCTGTTCCAGTTCTTCTTTCATCTCCAATACCTTGCTGTAACTTTAAATAAATAAAATAGAATTGAATTTAACAAGCCAACAGTGAGGCTGATGTCTCCTGCTGCAATCCCAAAATAAATAGATGACATGTATATTAATCTATTGCATATTTATCCTTTTGAAAAGTATCGAGTAATTAAACTGATTATCTATGCTTAGTCCAAGCATAAAATGTTCAATATCAAACTCGGGTTTTAAAATACCTTGTAGTGAGTGTAAACTATACACTAAGTTTCATCACTCTCCATCAGATAGAATAATAAAACTGATTATCTATACTCAGTCTAAGCAGAAATTGTTCACGATCAAACTCAGTCTTTTGAAGTACCTGGTAGTGAAACTATACATTAAGTTTCATCACACTCCATTAGTTAGAATCAAAGTTATCTTGTCCCAAATCATCGTCCAATGAAATTGCTTAGCTCTCCTTAGCTTCAGCAGAAAATGTTAATCATTGAACTCAGTCAAGATATTCACCTAATGAACATCTACACCAGGTTTAAACATTCTAACTCAAGTCTAAGATGAAAATTCTCATCCTCGAACTTAGTCAAGGCACTGATATAATGAAACTATCTGAGTTTAATCACTCTCATCCAATTAGAATCAAAGTTATCGTGTTTCAAAGTCTCAACCAATTAAATTGCTTAACTTGGCTTAGCCTTAGTGGAAATGAGCATGATCAAACACTTCCAAGGCATTCACCTAATAAAGACTTACACCAAGTTTAAACATTCTACCTCAGCTAGAAGAAGAGTTATTGTCTTTCAAAGTCTCAATCAGAGTGAAGTCTCTACTTAGCCTAAGCAGAAAATGCTTTTCATCAAACTTAGTCAAGGTATTAATGTAATGAAACTATACACGAAATTTCAATTAGAATCAAAGTTATCGAGTTCAGAAGTCTCGAAGAATCATATTGTTTATCACTTCGCTTACCCTGAGCAGAAAATGCTCATTTACTAATTTAGTTAAGATATTGATATAATGAAATTATATACTAAGTGTCATCACTGAATCAGAACCAAAGTTATTGTGTCTCAAAGCATCAACCAATCAAATTGCTTATCTCTGCTTAGCCTAAGCAGAAAATGCCCAACTTCGAACTCGGCATAGTGTATATCTATCTTCAATAGTTGGATTGATGCAGAAAAGTAGGAAAATGAAATGAAATGAAATTGGGCTTAACGTCCTACTGTTCGGCTTCGGGAGCCACAGTGGCTAAGAGAGTAAGATGCTGGCTCGCTAGCCTGGATGTCGCGGCAGGTTTTCTCCAGGTGTCAAGATTTTCTGGGGTGGTTTCCCCTTGTCAGCGGGGCAGGACGAAGGGCCTGAAAAGACAGCTGTCTAGTCGTTTGGATGGTATGAAACACCGAGGTTCCCTGTATACATTGGCGTGCACGTAAAAGATCCCTTGGCAGTTGGAATTCGATATATAAGAGGTAGTAGACCACTATCTGGGCAGAGTTTCCCTCACGAGTACGTGGTATAGCGTATGCCTATCTTCATAGCCCAGTCGGAAGTTAAACCCAATTTCATTTCATTCAATTTTCCTACTTTTCTGTGCCAATCGGGCTATTGAAGATAGGCATAAGCTATGCAGAGTGTTATGACAGAAATTTTCAATGGACTGTGGCATTCCTCAATTGACCAACACCAGGATCAGTGTACATAATCATAGTATTGAGAGGAATATGGCCAATAACTCGACATCAAGACATCTTAACCTGACAATACCACATTTTTACGCGACATTACAACATTTTTAATGTCTTGGTGTCGAGTTAAAATGGTGTGATGTCGGGTGGTCATGGCGTCGGGGTAAAATGTTGTGATGTCGGATTGTCGGGTTGTTTCCATTTTACACTTGCCTGTATATGGTCTCAATTTAGTATTTGTCAATACACACAAGGGTTCATTTTATGGAAATATTCTGAATTCTGATACATTTTTTAGTTAATTTTTGTGTATTATCATGCAGTGACAGCTATAGCTGAATGGACAACAAATATCACTAGATACCAAATTCACCTTTCATTTAACAGATTTTGAAGATTTTACATTTGTAATTTTACAAATAAACTGACAAATGGATCTTCTCTTGCATTTTTAAAATATTTTCTCGGATCTCCCAACTTACAAGGTTAGGTATGAAATGAGGTTTAACTTCTCATTCTTCTTCACCAACTGAGCTAATGAATATGGACATACTCCATACAAGTGTTATAAAGAACATTATGCCCAGGCAGCTGTGTTTCTGCCTACTCTTCATAGAATTGCAAATGTCTGCGTTTTTTTATTGTAAACACCAACGTGTACACAAAACCTTATTTTTTCATCCAATATGAACGACTAGACTCGGTAAGTTTGCAAGGACATCCGTTCTGCACCACTCACAAGGAGAAACTATCAAGCCAACACCAGGATTAAACACAGACCTCTTGGTTATTGAGCCAGCGTCTTACTCACTGAACCACCGTGACTCCTGGTTAGGCATACAACCCCTTATAATCTACATTATGGTATAGAAACAGAAAAAGAGAGATTTAAATTTTACTAAACAGAAATGCATTTTGCAAAATAGTCTGGCATTGGGGCTTTAAGACACCTCTGGGAATGTTTTCACTACTAATAGTTTATTTTAAAATAATATTGCTGTAATTAATTAAAATGAAAATAGTTTAAGATTTAGCTCAAGAAGCATCAAGATAACAAATGTTCTTCATCTTTCAACCTCACTCCAAAGTTCAGACTTCAAAGGAGCTAATTTCACAAGTTTTTAATTAAACAAAATGAACACATATTTTTCTCGGCAAATCTTTTTTACCAGATTAGAATTCTTTGTCCAAACATTAAGTTGTATTGACAAAGTTGAACTATTACTTTTGCCTGGAAATAATGACTTTAGTTATACCTGACATTTTGGCAATTAACTTTGCGTACCGTACCGGACAAAAAGTACTTAAGGCCATGTTGAATTGATGCCTTGTTTCTCCTGCCACTACTCTGGCAATCATGTGCAGTAGTGAGGTAAACACAACACAAAGAGGGTTTCAAAACACAAAGTGGTCTAGCATTATATCTATAGTCTGAGGGTTGTGTACCTTTTTTAAAATTATAAATAATCTACTTATTGCTTTGAATAAAAACACAGATAATCTTCAATTGAAAAAATTTAATAACAAATTAAAATTTTGTAACACGTCAGTGGCTTCTTGTTTTATATTTTAAAATATGAAATAATCATATTTTCATATAAATTTTCCATATTCTTGTGTTACAATACAATGGAAACATTTCAGTTAGACGAAATTTGATTCGCTTGGAGTTCATTGTTAGTTTTGACAACAAAAAATTTGTGATATTACTAACAAGTCGGACTGTTTATGTCGGGTACTAACAGCTTTCTATTAAACAGAAATAAGTTCACTTGCTGAGTGAGTTATAGACGGTTTCGACAATACCATCGAACGTAAAAATGCTGGGAATACCCACCAGAGTCCAGTCGAGATAGGTAAATTCGTGTACCCGTAATTTATTGATCTTCAAGGAAATAATAATGGTCCTGGCATCGCTAGCCATTTTGTAAGGCGTGCATAATTTAGTACACAAGATATAATTGGACAATACATGAATAATAATGACATGTGTTATAATTTAAGCCAATGAAAAAATTGATTATTCAGGTTTGCGGTTGAATATTAGCGACTGTCTTACAGTTTATAATATTATTATGCTTTCCCATTAGCCGAAATAACCCCTACACACGCCATTTTGAGGAATTCATATAATCCAATACAGTGTAACTTATTCCAAGGTATGCGGGCCCCTACATGTGTATTATCAACATCTTTAATTTGTAATGAGGGATAAACAACGAGAATTGACCTCTGATATTTGGTAGAATTTTATTTAGATATTATTAACATAATTTTTTTTTTTTGTGTTAAAAAGGTAAGCGCACGATTTTTGGGGTCCTCGACCTAAACGTGCAGGCAAGGAGAAACAAGGAATCAATTCAACACAGCCTAAACAGACATTATGTGAGCTAAGTCTGCCTTAGTCTGGCTTCAAATGTTATATAAATTATTATTTAATCATTCATTTACATGAGATGCCCATAATCAAGTATCTAAATCATCAGATGGCTGAGATATTGAATGGATTAGACCATCCTCACCTTATAATCGGTTAACATTAAAATGAACTGACAGTCTAGACTTGACAATCAAGTATTTCTTGTCAAACCTTCTAACACCAATAACTTCACTAACAAGCCAACAGTGGGGCTGATGTCCCCCGCACATGAACGAACCCATTTTAATAGTCCCCTGCTTTCTTCAAAAGGCGGGGGACAAATATAAAGAATGTGGGGACCGGGACTAAATCTGATGAAATTGTATAGCCATTCTTTGTGACAGTTCCTAAGTGTGAATCCATTTCGATTTAAAATGGTTCAAATATTATCAAACATGACCCGTCATTTATGTCTCAGTCGGGATCAAGTCTTGAAAGGCCCAGTTATTTGAATCGTAACACTTGCATATCAGCCTTCTAAATGATGTGATTGGATTTTTTCCTCTTTTTCTCGAAAAGTGTACGACATGGGCTATTTCCAAATAGGATAATGGATACCATTTCTCTTGGGAGGACTTGCTAAATTGAACAATAGTGGGATCATAATCCGTAATATAAACGATCGAATTTCCTTTGGTGAGCTAAAAATAGTTTTCACGTGGATTTGAGCGTACATATTTTTATAAGGCGTATTAACGGACCAGAATAGTTTTTCTGTTTATACAATGATGGTAATATCTACTTTGAATCAAAATCGTCTAAACTTGCTAATCAAATTCTGGAGAATTTTGACTCCGGAATAACGGTATAAATTTGTTGTTCAATTTATGGAGTATTTTGTACTCCAGTATAATGACTGATGGCAGAACAAACGTTTTCTGATTGGCAGATTATACTCCGGTAAAGTTCCGGACGTAAAATCTATCAGAGTCGTTTCGGTAAGGGGTCAACTTCTCCCTAGGTAAAGTTTGACTCTGGGTTCGGTTTCTCGTTTGAGGTGACCAGAGTACGGAAATTCTTAGCTGGTAAGGTTACTCCACAGTGAGTGTAATAAAATTAGAAATCTATGAGTGGCAAGTAGCCGTCCCACATTTCTCTCATGAAGTGACTAGTTTCGTTCAGTTCGAACTCATCAGACTTCAGTGAGATTGTGCGGATGTTCCCTTTATATAGTCTCGGATGGACCGGTCCAGTGCTGTATCACCGGAGCAACTGCTTCCGTTTAATGATGAACAGAGAGACGGCTAAAGAGCTGCCATTATAAAATGCTTACTTGCATAACTCTGAGGCTCCCATTTGACTGTGTCATATAAACAAGTGGGAAGCCTGATGAGTTCGAACTAAACAAAACTAGTTGCTTCATGAGAGAAATCTGGGATGGCTACTTGCTACTCATTGATTTCTAATTTTAGAAAAAAGTATTTTGACTGAAATTTTCACTATGTTAATTTTTCATTATCATTTTTGATATCTAAATCTTACATAATGCATCTTTAATCAAACTGAGCCCTACCCTTTATTCTAAATAACATTTTTCATTCCAGTCTTTTTTTAATACAAATAATAAAATTCATATTATGTCTACCGTCATGTTGACCTTTGAAATTGTAATTACCAGGATTGTGAAATTCATAAACTACCTTTATAATGCATTTTTTTTCTATTACACCCACAATAACAACAACCTTCAAATCAAACGAGTACACTATTCCGGTATGATTTATATTAAAAAATAGAATCAATATCCAAATATAAACTACCTGTATGAAAATAGGTATTGTTTTCAATAACCCTTTTAATCAAAGCAATCAATTATCAAATTATTACTGCTATAATAAATTGGATAAATATACTATATGCAAAAAAGTAAAATGTTCAAATAACTTGAAAAGAGATATGTCATGTGTATCTATTAAACATATTATTGCAAATCAAATGTTGTAGATGAAAGTTTAAACAGCAATGGATTTTGGTGTTCTAGGGAGTGAACAAGCATAATCCTGTCCCATTCATGTTTAGGTTCTTGAGTGAATTAGCATTTCCAATTCATGTTCAGGTGTTCTAGAGTTAACTAGCATATCCTGTTCAATTTATGTTCAGGATCAGGTGTTCCACCGTGAATTAGAATATCCTGTTCAATTCATGTTCAGGTGTTCTTGAGTGAATTAGCAAGTCCAATTCAGGTTCAGGTGTTCTAGAGTGAATATGCATATCCTGACCCCTTCTACATCAATGTTATGTGGAAATTAAGACTAACAAGCCAACAGTGAGGCTGATGTCCCCCGCAGAAATCCCAAAATAAATAGATGACACATATTAATTAATCGCACATTTATTTTTTTCAAAAGTATCGAGCAATCAAACTATACACTAAGTTTCATCACTCTCTATCAGATAGAGAATCAAGATTATCTTGTCCCAAAGCATCGACCAATGAAATTGATTAGCTCTGCTTAGCTTCAGCTCAAAATGATAATCATTGAACTCAGTCAAGACATTCACCTAATGAACATCTACATCAAGTTTAAACATTCTTCCTCAATTAAAAAGTCTTACATGTATGTTCCAAAGTCTTGACGAATCAAATTGCTTATCGCTCCTTAGCCTAAGCAGAAAATTATCACCATCGAACTTAGTCAAAGTAATGATATAATGAATCTATATTCGGAGTTTCATCGCTCTCACTTCATTATAACCAAAGTTATCGTGCGCCAAAGCATCAACCAATCAGATTGCTTATCTCTCCATCAAGGCATTTACCTAATGAATGCCTACACCAAATTTGAACATTCTACCTCAATTAGAAGGAGAGTTATTGTGTTCCAAAGACTTACCCTCAGCAGAAAATGTTCATTATCGAACTTAGTCAATTTATTGATGTAATAAAGCTATACATCAAGTGTCCTCACTCTCACTTAATTAGAACTTAAGTGATCGTGTCCCAAAGCATCAACCAATCAAATTGCTTATCTCTGCTTACCATAAGCAGACAATGTTCATCATCAAATTAAATCAAGGCATTCACCCAATGAACGCCTACACCAAGTTTGAACATTCTACCTCAATTCGAAGGGGAGTAATTGTGTTCCAAAATCTCGGCCAATCAAATTGCTTATCGCTCTGCTTAACCTGAGCAGAAAATGCTCATTATCGAACTTAGTCAAGGTATTGATATAATGAAACTATACACCATTTCATCACTCTAACTTAATTAGAACTAAAGTTATCGCGTCCCAAAGCATCAACCAATCAAATTGCATATCTCTGCTTACCCTAAGCAGAAAATGCTCATCTTTGAACTCCATCAAGGCATTGAGCATTTACAAGACACTACAAACTGATCAAAACTGACAACCAATGAAGTAATTATCAGAAATAATTAAAATTTGACTGGCGTCTAGTTCTTCCTAGAGCTGAGATTTATTACACAAAAAATATGCAAATAATGAGATTACAACTTTAGCTGTTTAAATTATTGGAAATCGTTGACAAGATTTTAAAAGATAGGTTGCCAGGCAACGAAACATACACCCACAGCAGCTAAATCGTCCGAGCGGTCGACAACGATTGTCACATATTTATTTCTTTGTAGGTAATTGGGGGCCTTAACAAGACAGTTCCATACAGATCAGATTATAATTTTTGCTGTTTGAGGGTTCACAAGGTTCTACAAACTGAAACAAGGGTCTCAACTCTGGAAGTAATCTACAGAAATTGTTGAAATTTGACAGGCTTTTTCGTTTTACTAATTTAAATAATGCATATAAATTTCATACAGATCAGATGATCACTTTTGTCATTCAAACGTTCGCAAGGTTCACAACCGCCATAACTCTAGAAATTATTGACGGAAACTGCTAAAATTCAATAGACCTCTGTTTTACTAATTTAAATGATGCATATAAATTTCATACATATCGGATGATAACTTTCATCAATCGAGCATTAACACGGTTGAACAAAGTGAAAAAGGGGCCACAACTCTAGAAGTAATGAACGGAAATTGCTGAAATTCAATAGGATTCTTCTCTTTACTAATTTAAATGACGCATGTAAATTTCATACAGATCGGCAGATTTCTTTGGATGTTAAAGAGTTCACAAGGTTCGATAAAGTGAAACAAGGGCCATAACTCTAGACGTAATAAACGGAAATTGCTGAAATTCAATAGGCTTCTTTGTTTCACTAATTTAAATAATGCATATAAATTTCAGAAATATTGGATAACTTTTGGTGTTAGAGAGTTCACAAGGTTCAATAAAGTGAAACAAGGGCCATAACTCTAGACGTAGTGAACAGAAATTATTGAAATTCAATAGGTTTCTTTGTTTCACTAATTTAAATCATGCATATAAATATCACAAAGACTGGATGATAACTTTTGGCGTTAGAGTGTTCACATGGTTCAATAAAGTGAAAAAAGGTCCATTACTCTAGACATAATAGGATTCTTCTCTTTACTAATTTAAATAATGCATATAAATTTCAGACAGATAGGATGATAACTTTTGGAGTTAGAGCGTTCACAAGGTTAAACAAAGTGAAACAAGAGCCATAACTCTAGAAGTAATAAACAGAAATTGCTGAAATTCAATAGGCTTCATTGTTTCCGTAATTTAAATATTGCATATAAATTTCACAAAGATCGGATGTTAACTTTCAGCATTAGAGCGTTCACAAGGTTCAACAAAGTGAAACAAGGGCCATAACTCTTAGACGTAATAAACGGAAATTATTGAAAATAAATAGGCTTCTTCATCTCACTAATGTAAACAACATATATCAATTTTAAAACAACTGGATGATAACTTTTGGACGGACGGGTGGGGGTGACGGCAATATACGTCCATATTTCCATGTGGTTGTATAAAAAGTTATCAAGGACATTAATGGTCAAAAATTTATTTTGTTCCATCTTAATGGATCAGATTTTCTACACTACATAAGATCAGGGTGGCTACTGTTTTGATGGCTGATATCTGCTGTGTTATGCACAAGACTTTAGTAAGTTTATAAAAAGACAAATGGATGATGATGATGTCATGACTGGAAGAGTTGTGTTTTCACTGGCTGTGTTTTCACAAGACCAAGTGATTGATCTGGCCAGACATTAAATAAAACTGAGTCCGTATAAAATAAGGAATTGCGTTGTAATGAAATTATATGTCCAGTAAAAACGTACCTTGCTCTTTTAATTGCATCAATCCATGCGGTACATTCTGATTCTGAATCACAGCGTAAATCATATTGTCGCTGACCTTCACTTTTATAGGTGATGGTAAAACAGTGCTGAAAACATAAGCAAACAATATTTAATGACAATGTTTAGGTAACAACAAACCTTAAAGCTCATCTGACTTTAGCAGAGGTACCAATGAAATGTAGGGCAGTTATATTAATCTTTATCATTTATTTTCTCAACAGGAGAGAAAGAGAAAGAGAGAGAGTATCATCAATGCAACACTAATTAGGTCATATAGGGTTATTTTTATTTTAATGTATCGCTCAACAAACATTACGGTGTAACGGTGATATATTCAAACGTTTTTTTAAATTGGATAATAATTGTGACCTCTAGAGGGACCACAAGCTAAAAACGCAAAGTTTCGTACAATCAGAGGCCATAATTCAGGAAGTTACAATCCGATATGCGCGAATATTAAAAGGAACCGAGATCTTTGGGTTATAAACTTGCATTTCAAGTTTCATCAAAATCGGAGATCAAAATTGTGGTCTCTAGAATGTCCACAACTTTGATATACCAGATGTTTACACTATTTGCGTACGAGGGGCGGCCATTTTGTCCGGTAGTTTTGGTCAGATTTTCATGAAATTCATTCTCAGACAAAATTACGGTGTAACAGTGATATTTTCGAACATTTTTTTTTAAATCGGATAATCTTGGGCCATAATTCAGGAAGTTACGATTTGATATGTACGAAAATGGAAAGGAACCAAGATATTTGGGTTATAAACATGCATTTCAAGTTTCATCACAATCAGACGAAAATTGTGACCTCCAGAGGGTCCACAACCCTGATACACAATATTTTGACACTATTTGCGAAGGAGGGGCGGCCATTTTGTCTGTCTGTTTCAGTCCGATTTTTACGAAATTCGAACTCAACCATCCTTAGGATGCAACAGTGATATATTTAAACGTTTTTTTAAATCGTACAAAAATTGTGACCTCTATAGGGTCCACAAGCTAAAAACACGATTTTTGGTACAATCGGGGGCCATAATTCAAGAAGTTATGGTCCGATCTGCGCGAATATCGAAAGGAACGAGATCTGTGGGTTATAAACATACATTTCAAGCTTAAACCAAATCGGATAAAAATTGTGACCTCTACAGTGTTCACAAGCTAAAAACATGATTTTTTGTACAATCAGGGGCCATAATCCATGAAGTTACAGTCCGATACATGCCAATATTGAAAGGAACCGAGATCTAGGGGGATAAACCTATATTTCAAGTTTCATTGAAACCGGATAAAAATTGTGACCTGTAGAGTGTTCACAAAGAATTGTGGACGTCCGGATGCACAGGGGCGACCACAATATACGTCCACATGAAAATGTGGGCATTTAAAAATTCTGACCTCTTTTGTCCACAACCTAGATATTACATACTAACACTATTTGCGTACATAGAGTGTCCATTTTGTCCGGCAGTTTCGTTCCGAAATTCAAACTCAATCATCATTATGGTGTAATGGTGATATATTTGAACGGTTTTTTAAATTGGAATATGCGCGAATATCAAAAGGAACGAAGATCTTTGAGTTATAAACATATATTTCAAATTTCATCTAAATCTGATAAAAATTGTCGCCTCTAGAGTGTCCACAAGCTAAAACCATGATTTTTCGTGCAATCAGGAGCCATAATCCATGAAGTTTCGATCTGATATATGTCAATATTAAAAGACACCAAGATCTTTTGGAGATACACCTATATTTCAAGTTTCGTCAAAATCGAATAAGAACTGTGACCTGTATAGTCTCCACAGACAAATTGTGGACGGACAGGGTTGACAGCAATATACATGTAGGTCCACATGAAAGTGTCGGCATATAAAAACTGTAATACAGGGTTACCATTTGACATTATACATCTTCCATGGCGAGTATCTACTGACACCCCTAAATGAGTTTTGTGGAAAATAACTCACTATAGCTCTTGAATTATTAAGGCAGCCAATACACAAAAGTCTAGTTATTCAATGTTTTTATAATCCAAACCTAGTTTATATGACAAAATCTTTTTTTTAAATACTGACAATCATTCTGTTTCATGTTGTACAAAACAACTAAATTAATTATTAAAAACAAGTCCTGGTTTTAAAAGAAAAACAATTGTACCAGTGTGAAAATATTCAGACACAAAATCAATAATACTAAGAGCTTTAAAACTATTGGTTAGCTTATGAAATAAAATACTGCAATGTATTCTCTTGCATTTTTTGCTAACCAGTGTTCTCTTGATAGTTGATGCTATTATATAATATAGACGCTACATCGATGATACTCATACATTTTAAATTTCTAATGCCTAATGATTGCTTGTTAAAGGCGCTTCCCTACTATATTAGTATATGAAAGTCTCGTAAAAACCTGTGTCCTATTCCTGTCCAGCTGCTGGATGCTCATAGAGATAAAATGTAAATACAAATAAACAGTTTTATTGTTAGGACTACAGATGCATTGGTTTATCCAGTAGTTGCCATGCAATACATTCCCACATTTTGTAAAAGATGGATAGAGAATAAGCTAGATTTTTCATACAATCAGGAGCCATAAACCATTAAATTATTGTCTGAAATGCACAAATATCGAAAGGAACTGAGATCTTTGGAATATAAATATATATTTTAAGTTTCATCAAAATCGGACAAAAATCGTGACTTCTCAAGGGTCCACAACTAAAGAGTTTCATCGCTCTAACCGAATTAGAACCAAAGTTGGGGGGTTGGATGGCCGAACAGTTAGCACGTGCGTGCTGTATTATAAGGTCTGTCATTGAGTCAACTGGCGTGGTTTCGATTCCCCGGTTGTACGTGACAGGAGTAGGGTTGCCTTCCAACCTCGTGCTTAGCATCGAACCTTGTTAAGGTATTGATGTAATAAAATTATGCACAAAGTTTCACCACTATCACTCAATTAGAATCAAAGTTGTCGAGCTCCAAAGTCTCGACCAATCAAATTGTTTATCACTATGTTTACCCTAAGCCGAAAATGCTCTCATAATTGAGCTTAGTCAAGGTATTGATGAGATGAAACTATACACCAAGTTTCGTCACTCTCACTTACTAAGAACCAAAGTTATCACTTCCCAAAGCATTAACCAATCAAATTGCTTATCTCTGCTTAACCCTAAGCAGAAAATGCTCATCTTCAAGTTCCAGCAACGCCTACTATACACCATGTCTGAACATTCTAGATCAATTAGAAGGAAAGTTATTGTGTCCCAAATAGTGTGACAGACAGCTGCAGACTGTCACTAGATAAGAGAAAACTAGAAAAAGAGAAAAAGTCTGTGCATTACCATGTTTTTATTAAAGGAGCTAAATCGCTAACATTTGGGACCTAGAAATTCACAAAAGTGGGTCGCAACGCATATAATACTGTAATATGAATGTATATAAACTGATTTACATTTAATGGTTCCCGTTTTTACTCCAATTTCAAATCAGATATGTTCGGCGAAATAAGTCAGCAATCTCAATCGAGTGCAAATTTCTAGCGTCTAGTTATTCTAGTCTACATAACTCCATTTGATTTGGTGCAATGTGTCTAGCCTCGTCCCTCGAGTCTCTCAATACAACTGGGGCTGAAGCGCCTTATGGTACATGATTCGTGTACCAATGTTAAAAAAATTATTTTATCTTAAATATCGGATATCAGAAGCTCATCTTTTCCCAGTAAGTTTACATCATCAATGTTGATTTAAATTGACCAATAATTCGTGTTTTCGATGTCGAAGATTTAGGAGGATTTTGAGTTACGGACTTAGGTCCTTTAAGTATAGAATGAATAAAAACAAGGGAATGTTCAGATGACTTCTATTTTAATCATTATTATTTGCTTGATAACGATATCTGTATGTGTATCAAAACATAGCATGTTAATAAATTCAGAAGTAGTATATCCATATAAGTGTTTTTAATGTAACTTCCATTTTCTCGTTTTTCCTGATCTAGTGACATTCGATTACTTTTTCGAATTATCAGATGTCCTCTCACAGCCTCACATAACAATTTTTGGTCTTTAAAGGAATTATTAGTGAGCAGAAATTTGCCTGTGTATCTGTTATCACTCGTCACTTCAGTCAGTTATGTAAAAGGATAAGTTGTATTTTCCTTTTGCGTTCATCACCAGTTCTATCACATATGTGATAATGATTGACACCAATATTGTCCTTTAAGTATTGTTACAGAATATAAGATTGTACCAAGAAGAAGTGAGTTGTTGAACTATTGTATGTTCTAGATTGAACATACAACCCATCGTCGAAGGTTATACTATAAATACTAATTGATTTATATAGTGCCAATAATTCAACTCAGCGAACTGCTCTTGGGCGCTTTACATAAGTACAACTAATATAAAATTACAACAATCACAACACATTAATGCATAAAAGAAAGACATAAACAAAAAATGGAGAACATCATTTAGTAGCCTACATATGGTTAAAGTCTGACACAAACACAGCTAGAACCGTATTCAATCAGTTGTATACTATATTTGATTAAAAAGTTCAGTTTTGAGATACTTTTTAAAACCTTTAATAGAATTTGCGCTTTTGGTTTCGTTTGATATTGAATTCCATAACTTTGGAGCACCGACGGCAAAAGATCTATCACCGGAGTTGGTTTTTTAAAAAGGCTTAATTAAGAGGTTGTCTGATTATGATTGAAAGGGTTTATTGGTGTTGAGAAGGTCTCTAAGGTATTGAGGTGAAGAATCGTCATTTAGATCAGAATACGTAATAGACAGTATTTTAAAATTGATACGTTGACATACTGGAAGATGATGGAGATCTTTCAGACTTGGTGTAATATGTTCATTTGGTTTCATCTTGGTTATGATCCGGGCTGGTTTATTTTGATGTTTCTGAAGTCGTTTGATTTTATTTTCAGGTAGATTGTACCATAGTGTTTACCAGCATTTTAGTCATATCACTATCAATAAAAGATCTAATTTTTCCAATATTATAAATCTGAAAATTAATACTTTTACACATGACCGAAATTTGTCTATTCATGTCCAGATGAGAGTCAAA